CTGTTGTAATGAGTACAAGTTATGTGCCTGGTGTAATGAGTACAAGTCGTGTGCATGTTGTAATATGTACAAGTCATGTGCCTGTTGTAATGTGTACAAGTTATGTGCATGTTGTAATGTGTACAAGTTATGGGCCTGTGGTAATGTGTGCATGTTGTAATGTGTACAATTTATGTGCCTGTTGTAATGTGTACAAGTCATGTGCCTGTTGTAATGTGTACAAAGTATTTTCCTGTTGTAATGTGTACAAGTTATGTTCCAGTTGTAATGTGTACAAGTTATGTGCCTGTTGTAATGTGTACATGTTATGTTCCTGTTGTAATGTGTACATGTCATGTGCCTGTGGTAATGTGTACAAGTTATGTGCATGTTGTAATGTGTACAATTTATGTGCCTTTTGTAATGTGTACAATTTATGTGCTTTTTGTAATGTGTACAAGTTATGTTCCTGTGGTAATGTGTACAAGTTATGTTCCTGTGGTAATGTGTACAAGTTATGTGCATGTTGTAATGTCTACAAGTTATGTGCCTGTGGTAATGTGTACAAGTTATGTGCATGTTGTAATGTGTACAAGTTATGTGCCTGTTGTAATGTGCACAAGTTATGTGCCTGTTGTAATGTGTAAAAGTCATGTGTCTGTGGCAATGCGTACATTTTATGTTTCTGTGCACGTTGTAATTTGTGTACATTTTATGTTCCTGTGGTAATGCGTACATGTCATGTGCCTGTTGTAATGTGTACAAGTCATGTGCCTGTTGTAATGTGTACAAGTTATGTGTCTGTTGTAATGTGTACATGTTATGTTGCTGTACTCTGTCTGTGAGGGCGCAATAACTATCGCCGAACATATGCCAAGCTACAGTTATAATAATACTATAAGAAAGTGCCGATCTAAAATTATTTTGCCTAAATAAATTACTTAAAATATGTTTAGGAAAAATGAGACACCTCATTTAATAGTTACTTGTGACATTTTCCGTTCCAATAATGTATGTTGTGGAGCTTGGTTGATGGGTGTCTCATTGGGTATGGGCATTTAAATGATGTAATTGTTTTAATTGGTTGATATTTAATAACCAACATGGAAAACATCGTGTGTCATATCAAATGAAAGGTAGTTTTAATGTAGAATTCAGTTAGCCAATCGTACAACATCTACGACAATCGTATTCGTTGTTACGGTCTGACCCAAATATAGCCTCGGTCTCAGTGTCTGGGCTGCATTTCGAACTATATATATATATATATATTTCAACGACGTGTTCGATTGACAGATGCACAGCGTCGTTACTAGCATGGAAACTAGTCTAAACCATATAATTTCGAATCTAACAACGCATGTCTGAATTGATTTTATTCTAAATGTAAACCTTGTTCAATGTAACTACGGCTTTTCTCTTTAGTGTGGTTATAATAAGTTATGCCATTCAAGAATACAACGATCATCTCTCTAGTAATCAATCATTTTCAGTAAAAAAAATACTTCATTATTATGCACTTGGACGAATACCCCTAGTGGGCATACGCAGTGTGAAATAGAAAAGCCTGGCTGTGGGCTTGTAATACACACAATGTTAGGTCCTGTATATTGTTTGTACTTATTTAGTATGAACATCACTGAATTGATTGCAACTATCGGTACAAGGAATGGTCTTGTTTCATTATTCAAAAAGCACGACCCCAAGTGATTGTTTGCCAGCACTGAGTCGTATGTTATGTTTGCAGCCACCGTGACTAAGTACATCGTATGTTATGTTTGCTTCCATCGTGACTAATAAATCTATGTTATGTTTG